GCCCGGCCTAATTCAGTTCTTGGAGTTGTAGGACAGAGATCCTCCTTTCATGCTGGCTGTCAGTTGGGGGACAGCCTCAGCTCCTAGAGGCCTCCCTCCCATTCCTTGCCACGACATCACACTTGACTTGTTCAAAGCCAGCCACAAAGAATCTCGCCTTTGTCCCTTTTTTACTTTAGATCTTAAGGAAGACCCCAGTCCCTTTTAATAGGCCACCTGATTAAGTTACATCCACCCAGAATAATTTCTTAAGATCAATTAAAGATTTGAGGAACCTTAATTACATCTTCAAAATCCCTTCACTGCAGCACCAATTAGATCAGTATTTGTTTAACTGGGAGGATCATATAGTTTAGCCGGTAGGAATCTGAGGGGCTATCTTAGAATTCTGCCAACCACAAGTAGTGTCCCCCACTGCAAGGACTTAAGTATCTTGTTCTTGGAAATCAGAATTTACCAGTGTCCATTCTATTTTTTTTTAATATTTTTTATTTATTTGAGAGAGAGAGAGAGATCACGAACAGAGCGGGGAAAGGCAGAGGGAGAAGCTGACTCCTCGCTGAGAGGGAGCCCAATGCGGGACTCGATGCCAGGACTCTGGGGTCATGACCTGAGCCGAAGGCAGACGCTTAACTGACTGAGCCACCCAGGCGCCCCGTGCATTCTATTTTATTGACGTTGGTGAATGGGGAGATTACCACTTCTGTGAACAGGCATGGGGCCCAACTTCCTGAGTTCAAAATGTGGTTCTACAACTTAATGATCTTAGGTGATATGGTCTGGGGTGTCCTACACTACTTTTCTCTGTCTCCATTTTCTCACCTGTAAAATGACATGGAGTTAATTGTTCTTTCCTTGTAGGGTTTTGATGATTAAATTATTTAATATCCAGGAAATTCCTATTAGGACAGGGCTTGGCACATACTAAAGTGCTTTAAAAGTGTTTACTTTTTAAAATGCATTTGATTCTGCAATTATATAATTTGGGTGGGTTAACTATGTTAGTGAGATTTCCTATTATAACGGGGCCCATTAATAAAAGTAGAATTTTCCTTTCTTGGCCTTAGTGTTTTATTTCTGACTTAACTGTATTATACACATATGCCTTTTATGGTGAGCTGCCACAAATTTATTTTGGAAAGTATTGGATTCAAATAAATTTTTAATATGCTAATTTGATATTTTTGGTAATTAATTTCACTAGCATGGTAGGATAAAATCATTAAGTAACAGATTATAATCCTGAAGTCTGAGTTTACTTGTGGCTCTATGCCTAAATCCTTGGTGAGATCTATAAATGGAAAGGCTTTTGGATATGATACTATGAATTGCTTATAATACTCTATTTTTTCACACTAGGAAAAACTGGAGGAGTGCCTAAAGCAGTTAAAGGAGGAAAGAGTAATAAGGTTTAAGGCTGATAAACGAGTCAGTGAGGTAAACAGGTTTTTTCTTATACTTTTGAAAGTGTTTTGGTTTTATTTTTATTTGATTTTAAGCCATACACATGCAGTTTATAAACTTTAAAACTAATATATTGCAAATTGGTTGTACCATATGAACCTTTGTATTTACTTCTTTTAGTGGTCATATGATCTCTATTCCAGAAAACATGTTTTTAAAATGGAAAAATCTTAGGGATACCTGGGTGGCTCAGTTGGTTAAACATCCGGCTCTTAATCTCAGCTCAGGTCCTGATCTCAGGGTTGTGAGTTCAAGCCCTGCACTGGGGTCCACATATTTTGGGTGGGGAGCATATTTTTTAAAAAAAGAAGTAAAAATCTTAGGGTTTTTTTTGGTGTGTGTGTATTTTTATATGATGTTAGCTTATTTTCTGTTTATGATGCTTCAGTTCAAGAAAGCACTTATGCTTATATGCATATATAGTAACATAAAAGATATGATGAAACTACTTACTGGCAGTGAATAATTTAAATAAGTAAGTATAAAATATTAGAAAACTGCTAAGAATGCAGTGAAAGAGAAAAATATATACTATGAGAATTACATTAGGGAAGTGTGCATGGAAGCAGGACATAAGCTCAGAAGTTGTATGTAAATATAATTTATTATTATAAGGTGAGTTTTGGGAGGAATTTTCGCAAGTGCATACACTGGATTGAAGAACACTTACTCATTCAGTAAAGGTTGAGCACCTGTAAGGTAAAAGCTACGTCATGAACAAAAGAGCCTCTCTGAGAAATACTAGAGTTGGGTTTATCTGGGTTTTTAGCTGAATAGATGGGGGAATCATTACAGAACGTAATGATTCTACGAGATTTCCAATAGATGGGGACATGCAAGGGAGGAAACATTTTCAAGAAGCCAAGGAGAGTATTAGTCATTGTATGGTTAATTAGTTGGGTATGATTCAGGACTTTTAAACTTAGACATTTAATATTTTGCTCAATAAAGTTAATCCTTAACATCCAGCCAAGTTGGAATATGCTTTGCTCAAATCAGACTATTTCACTTTCTAATTTAAAGGGAACCTTAAGCAGCTAATTTTTCTAATGTAAATGAGGGTCTGTTATGAATATAACCAGTTAGAAAAGTGATCTTTTGAAAGATCATTAATAATTAAACAGTTACTTTGGTTTATTTATATACCACCTAAGTATTATATAGGAAACTTTGTTGGGTATCTTTGGGTTTTGATCATTATGTGATGTAGTCTCTGTCTTCATAGGCAGAAAGTTAGATTAATTACAAATTAATTACATTTGAAATGTTTTAGTTTTGTTGCTTAAAAACTTTTCTTTTCATGACAATGGAAGAAAATCATGTCAGACATTTTCAATTTTCTTTTATAGCTGGAACATGAAAATGCCCAGTTAAGAAATATAAATTTCTCTTTGTCTGAAGCCCTGCATGCACAGTCATTGACAAGCATGATCCTGGATGACGAAGGTGTTTTGGGCAGCATTGAGAATTCTTTTCAGAAGTTCCATGCTTTCTTGGACCTCCTTAAAGATGCTGGGTTAGTAGTTGAGAAACTACATGGCATTATTCTCTTTGCATCTGTAATGAGGGTTTACTAAGGAATGTGAGCAATTTTCAATGCTTCCATAGTCTTATTTAGCGTGTAATATTGGGTGTTTTTTAAATGAGGAATTAAAAGAAATGCAAAATGGTAAACCTACTTTGGTAGAGGAGAGAGCCCATTTTGAAAGAATAACCTGTAGATTAAGTAATTTTTAGGTATAGTTTTTGGGAAAGACTACACTGACGATAATTTTACTTGAAAATATTCCAGAATGCATCAGAATTTCCCTCCCTTTTATTTATCTTTCTGGTAAAATAAATTTGAATTAAAGTGGTTTTTGTCCTACACAGAGAAATTATTATTAATCCGTAAGGCAAATATAGATACAGATCAGTCATTCTCAACTGTGAATGATTTTGCTAAAGGAAGATACTGAAAGAGAGAACTGGAGATTGAAATTGATGGAGTGATGTTTTGTGGGTGAAGGAGTGAGTGTTGGGAAGGAAGGAACGAACACGTTTTTGGAAACAGGAGGAGAGGTGGTCAGGAAGTGGGGGTGAGGTGAGAGCTGATGCACTGGGTGCATACTAGAAGCTGAAGCATTGAAATGGAGTGACGAATCAGGTGGTGGTCAAGACGTTGTTGGGGGAAGGAAGAGGGGGTGCTACAAGGATGGCATGAGCTGATGTGGTCCCAGAGCATGAATGTGGAAGGGCTGAGAGTTTGAGAGAGAAAAGGGGCTTGTATCTGCGGTAGGGTATTGGTTTTTAAGATTTTAGAAGTATTTCCTGATTGTAGGTATGGGGAAGTCTAAGCTGCTCACATGCAATTATAGTAACCTTTGCTTTTTTCCTCCTTTCCTCCTCTTGTCCAGGCTTGGGCAGCTTGCCACAATGGCTGGAATAGATCAGTCAGATTTTCATTTACTGGGTCGTCCCCAGATGAATTCTACTCTCAGTAGTCTGCCTACGGAAGAAAAGAAAGCGCTTGAAGAAGAAAAACGAGAATCAAAGCAGAACCCCCTAGGACAGATGCAAAATATCCAAGTAAGTGGACAGAACAGAACGTCATGATTCTACGAGTGATTAGCCAAAAGGGAATTATCAAGTCAGAGAGAAAATAATACTGCTCTGTCCCTAATAACTCACATGCTTGGGAGGAGCCTCTTTGGGGTCCTTTCCAAATGTGAAATTAGTTAAGTTTGGACCCGTTTCATAATATCGTGTAGTTACAAACAAGAAAGACAGACGGTTTTTTGCAAATGTATGATTTAAAGTAAACTATTCTCAGTGAAGAAAGAAATGAAACACTAGAGAGAGCATTCCAAACTTTAAATTGTGTAAATGTCTATTCTATTCATATTTCATCTAGGTTTCTATTTGTATGCAGTCAGCTTGCAGTGAAGGAACACTAATGAAGGTACAACTACTGATCCAGATAATTTTCTTAAATAAGTAATCCAGACGTAACTAATAGACAGTGCATTATAGTTAGCCTCCCAGTTATGGGAGCGAGAGGAGACAAACCCGTCTGCTCTTCTCCTGGCCTGACTTCCTGGAGCCTTCCCTTCGTCTTCCGTCTCAGCCAACCTCAGACAGTCTTGGGAACTGACAGCTTGAGAACAGTCTCATCACAAATTGGAGACTGCTTCCATGTTCCTAGACGATAGAAAAGAAATTAATTTCCTTAGGGAATAGGGCTTTATTATTTTTAATGAGGGAAAGGGAAGTGGGCAATAATCATCCCAAACACCAAGTATGAAAATGGAGTAGACGTTGCCTTGGATATAGCGAAGTTAAGTTGGGAACCAACTGGCAGGATATAATTAGAAAAAAACTGGATCTAAAATCTTCTGATTAATCAAATGACTGTCATAATAATACAATCACAGAGTAACACTGAAGTCATGGACTCTACTTTTTAATGGTTGGCTTTGTGCATCACTGAATTTTTGTTTTGTCGTCTTTTGTTTTTCCCTCCAGTTTCAGAAAATCACAGGTGATGCTAGAATTCCTTTGCCTCTCGACTCCTTCCATGTCCCCGTTTCCACGCAGGAGCCCTTAGAAACTTCTAGAGACAACCTGGGAGTCCCAGTCAATGAGCAGCGGCAGGACTCTATCAAAGAATTCATTGCTAGAACATGTTCTCCTTCAGCAGATGTGATGTCTGGAGCTGGAAGCCAAAGAAAAGAAGATGAATTGTCTAGAAATAGCATATCTTCTTCAGAGAAAATGACCAAAACAGGTGAATATACCAAAAAATATTGTGCTAAAAAACAGCCCAGAAAGGACCTGCATTCCTGCTCTGACTCACCTGTAAATCGGAAAAGTAAAGGAATTGGGCAAAATCATTCTTTGGTTAACGAACCAGTTAAAAGTGAGTCTTTGAAAAAACACATTTCTGTCAAGAAAGAAAGTAGAATAGTGACTGTTTCATCCAAGACGACTAAAAGTAAACTCAATCTGTTAGAACACTCTGAAGGTGATACTCTTGGATCTGACTTTGAATTTCAAGAAAGCATCCATACCGTATCACACCTGACATAGGTCTAAATCTTTTGAAATTATGTTTTTGCCTTCAAATTTTAATAAATTTCTTATGTTTTCATTGTGGCATATGGTGTTTTAAAATATAGTACTGGAAGCCATCAGAGATTTATCCATTCTTTTTATTGTAATGAAACTTTTGGGGTATGTTTTCTTTTTGACACTCTCCACCTTTCACTCAACAAGTATTTCTTGTGGACTTAATATGTATGATACTATTCTGGGTGCTATCGCTTTCAGCAATGAACAAAACAAAACCTTTACATTCACGGAACTAATATTCTGTGGAGGGAGAAAAAAAATACCAAAGCAGGATAAGGGCCCTAGAAAGGATGGGGTAATAAATGGGGGAGTTTTAACATTTGGGTAAATGTGGAAATACTATAAATCACTTTGCCAGAAGTCATTGGCATATCCTGATTCATAATAACCAGAGCAGCAAACATTCACCAGGGTACTTAGCCATAGTCCTGGATTACAGCAACTGTATACGGTAGGGAACCATTATTGGGCACATTTTATAGATGAGGAGTCTGAGGAGACAGATTATGTGAGTTGCCCAAAATTACAGAGCTTTAAATAAGTGGTAAAGCTGGGATTTGAACCAGAACCCATGCCCTTAATCCCTTTGTTGTCCTGTTACCTTGCTAAGAGAAGAAGGGCTTGCGGAAGCCATGGAGAGAGAAGCCATTGAGCGCAGGAAGTGCATGGCGGGGCTATACGCCTGCCCCTCCCCCATCTGGGTCAGGTACTTAAAGGCAGACGGCGTAAGAGCATATGAACGTGCATCTCCGGACCAAATTATGCCTCCCTGGTAAAACATGCATAGAAAAGTCCTGAGTTAGGCTGTGACTTTTGAGAGGTAAAATCAGAGAAAAGCTGGTGTGTCCAATTTCTTCTGAGACGGCCCTGCCTGATTGTTACCGAAGGACCACTGCAGCACTACTGAGTTCATGAATCATGGATTGAGTGCGATGGGAGTAAAACAAGAAAGAAAGATACAGCCCTTAACTAATAGTTAGAATGAGAGTAGGAGACGCACAAGCAGAGATCTTAATACTGCATTTCGCATTCTGTGATGGGACTGCTTAGGGAATGTAGCCCATGTTTGGGGAAGAAGAGAGAACTGGGGCCAAGAAAGGTCATTTAAAGAGCTCACACCTAAGCTAAGTCTTGAAGGAGTAGTTGGAAACTGGTGAATAAGGGGAGGAAGGGAAAGGATCCTCAAAATGGAGGAAAAGCAGAAGTATAGAGCCAAGGGCATGAGAGTGGTGTGTTTGGGGAACGCCAGATACAGATTCCAGAGTTGGTGGGATATCATCAAGCAGTGGCAGCAAGGAGACTGAGCAGGTCTTACAAGCCGTGTCAAGCCATGTTGCATGGAGCTGGTTCTTTTTCCTCAGGAAAGAGCTAATAAAACGGTTGCAGAATGGAAATGACATGTTGAGGGTTGCATGTTAGATCATGAATGTTCAGTATGGAACATCAGTTAGAAGAAGTATGGGGATCAGAGATGATGCCACACTCTTCTGAGGAGCATTGTTTATTTTTAAATAAAAATTAAAAACGTCCTCCCCTGTCCTTACTGAAAGGGCTCCGTGGACAAAAGTAAGGGAAACCCTGGCTTAAAGTTAAGCGGGTTTCTTCACTGTATGACTTCTCAGGGCTACTGCAAGCTAACAGTCATTCTGAATTTCCAAGACAGGCATAGGGTGGGCAGCCTTTTCAAATATATTTGATCATAGAATCCTTTTTCATTTTTTTTTAATTGAGAGAGAATGCACATGCATGCACCAGAGAGGGAGTGGGGGTGAGAGCAGAGGGAGAAGGAGAGAGAATCTCAAGCGGACTCTGTGCTGAGCACTGAGCCTGACACAGAGCTGGATCTCACAACCCTGAAATCATGACCTGAGCCGAAATCAAGAGTCAGACGCTTAACCGACTGAACCACCTGGGCGCCCCTAGAATCCTTTTTCTAAAAGAGTGTCTAACAGCTGGTTTCACCAAACACCAGTTTGGTAACTTCTGAATTAGGCAATAACAAGAGGAAAAAAGTCTGAAATAAGGTATCAAGGGAGGAAGTAAGTTTGAAATTTATTTAGGAAATAAGCAAGACTTGGTTGTGGGAAGTAAGGAGGAAGTAGGAGGCAGAAGCTGGGGTCCCATTTGTGTGACTGAGGTCGGGTGGTGGTATCACTGAGGTTGGAAATAGGGAAAAAAGAACTGTATTGGGGAGAAGAGTTGAGGTTTGGACGGGTTGAATTTTAAAGCACCTAGAGAATTCAGGAGATGATGGGTCGATCACTGGATGCGCATGTGAAGACATGGAAAGATAAAAATTTGAATGGCGTCAGCACGTATAAAAAAATCATGAAAATGGTTGAGGTCACAGAGAATGTGGGGACTTAAAAAAAGTTTAAGTCAGAAGCAGAGAGGGGCGCCTGGGTGGCTCAGTTGGTTAAGCGACTGCCTTCGGCTCAAGTCATGATCCTGGAGTCCCTGGATCGAGTCCCACGTCGGGCTCCCTGCTCAGCAGGGAGTCTGCCTCTCTCTCTGACCCTCCCCCCTCTCATGCTCTCTGTCTCAGTCTCTCTCTCAAATAAATAAATAAAATCTTTAAAAAAAAAAAAAAAGCAGAGAAAGGATTTTGAGGAAAGCGGAAATAGCATTTCAAGAAGGAAGAAATAGATAAGTGTCATGCTGCAGAGAATGTGTTTGGCTTTGGCAGTTAGGTCCCTGGTGACCTTAATGGGAGTCATTCAGGGGAAGTGGTAGACGTAGCCAGATTGAGACAAGTGGAGGGGACAGGGCCGCTCTGAGGGGACAGTGAAGAGTGGGTATAGGCTATTCTTTGAAGGAGTCTGGATGAGAAGAGGAAGCAAGGCGTTCAAAAAGAATTTTTTTTAGACAGAGAGTGACTTAAGTGTTTATAGGTTGAAAGGAACGAGCCCATCAAAGGAGATAGTGAAGATGCTGAGGATTGAGAGGCTCACCCATACAGCAGGATCCAAGGATGTGGGAGCATGAGCTACGTTAATGCTGTTAAGATGGGAAGAGCTGTGAACAGGTGTGGATGTAGATTACTTGATTGCTCAGTGAATTTGAGGTGGCTCACGTCCATACGTGCAGTGCAAAATGATGAGATAAGTAACTTAGAGAATTGGGAAAACAGGGAAATACGGTAAGGAAAAAACAGGGATACAGTTCATGTTGCAAAATATTTAAGAATGACTTATACTCTTCAAGTGGGATGAATTCTGGCAAGTTTGGGGTGAAATAGCATTGGGAAAAAGTAGAAGTTAAGTGAGTTTGTGCTGATAACCTCAGTTTTCTTTTTTAACAAGAAATTTTTTAAAAAACATACATGTACAAAATTACCGTTTTAAAATGGTTGCATAATTTAGGTAGGGTTTTTTTTTAATCGTTTGAAATGATTTCATTAAAAATCATCGGGGCGCCTGGGAAGTTCAGTCAGATAACCGTCTGCTTCAGCTCAGGTCATGATCTCAGGGTCCGGGTATCAAGCCCCATGTCGGGCTCCCTGCTCAGCGGGGAATCTGCTTGTCCCTCTGCCCCTCCCCCTGCTTCTGCGTGCGCACGCGTACTCTCTCTCAAATAAATAAATCTTTTTTTAAAAAAAAGAATCATCAATATGGATATCTTGTCGCTTAATGTGAGGATTTTAGAAGTTTGATGTTAAACTTCTACTATTACACCTGAAGCTATGTCACTTCACTGAAATACAGTATTTTCATCTGGGTTAGAGGAAGTTACAAGCCTGTACCTTTACTGAGAAGTTACTGTGTACCTTTGCCGAGTGATTACCCGAGCATGTGCAGTCTATGCAAAGAGGAGTTTTCTGAGGTTTTAAAAACAGTGTCAGATGTGATACTCTAGCAAAGAGTTTGTAGTCCTGCCTTAAATCCACATAATTACGATTGGTCATAATTACTATTGCAATAATTACTTTTCCATTCCTAGCCAGTACTGTGTCCAGGAAGCAGTCTAATTTCAAATGGATATTTACAGAATAATCCTCAATCTCAAGATTTTCAGAGGACCAGCAAGATAGGCGACAATAATTAATTTTTTTAAAGATTCTGATTATGAACTACATGCTGGAGCTGACCACGTAACAAAGATGACTGAACACATTCTTTTACTCTTCCAGAATCTCATTGAAATGACTGGAGAAATACTAAAAATAGATTAATAGCAGAATTGGAAAACCAGAACATGAACAGTGTGGAATTCCCAGAAGATAAAAAGCAGATTATCGAGGATCAGTTAATTAAAGAGTGAAGCAGCTCAGCCATTCTGCGCACCTTTGAAGCACCTAATTCTGGAGTTTGCCACCAGGCTAAGGCTAAGAAAACAGCTCTTTGAGGTAGGAGTTCTGACACAGACACACTGGGATCAGAGAAGAAGGGTGTTACCCAAATGACTCCAAGGAGGAACCGAGGGTCTGCTGCCCAGCCACTCGCTCTGGCTGTGGGGAGCAGGCACTCCCTTTCTCATCACCACAGGCGCCCGTGGTCAGCATCTGTGTTCACTAAAAGTGGGACAGTTGTTTGGCTGAGGAAAAGCACTTCAAACTGTAATCTTAGGTCTGCATCCCTAAATACGCCAAGAATCATCAGATTTGAAGAAAACCAGTAACATAAAAGGAGACACCAAATTAAAACAAAGTAACCTGTTCAAGAAAGTAGTAGAAGAAACAGAAGAAATGTAAAAATGAATATGATTAAGGTCATATTCATAAGGATATTGTATCCATAAACAATAAGATGCTAGGAAAAAAATATTTAGTGTCTAGAAACTGAAAATATAATTATGAAAAAACACTCAGAAGATGGGCTAGATTGTAGAATGGGTTCAGCTGAAGCTTAAATTCATGAAATGCAGGATTTGAGAGATTCTCCCTAATATGCCCTGCAAAGGGATGAAAGGTAAATACTATGAAAGAAAAGTGCAAGTCCTTCACAAACTCAGACGTATAGTAATTGCACAAGTAGTAAGCAGTTGGCATATAGTAAGTACACAAATGCTTGTGGAATTAATGAGACAACACAGATTTCAGTATTAGACTTCTTATTCAATAACTATAAGAAATTTTTCTCTAAGAATTACTAAGCGCACTGAACAGTGAATCCGTGATGAGATTTTAAATCAAAGCAACTGATGATGCCATGAGATCTGTCATTCCCCTTTATAATCATGAGATGCCTATAATCAGAAAAAGTCTAAATGAATATTAATGCATATGGGAAAATAAAGTGAGCTCCACATCACCCTCAACCTGGGAGCCAGCTGATGAAGCATCACTATTTAGAATGTTGCTGGTTGCAACACCCAAGGAAAAAGAGAGTGAGGCAACGTTCACTGACTTAAAGCTTCTGCACACATGCCACTTCTCACACTTCATTAGCCAAGAGTGTCACATGGCCGTGCCCTAGTTCAGGGCAGGGAAGCACAGTGCGGACTTACTGTGTCAAGACAAGGAGAGAGAAGCAAATACGTGTCAACAACTTTCATAGCTACCAACTGCCAGGAATGGGAGGTGGAATTTAAAAATCCAAGAAAAGTCAGGGGGCGCCTGGGTGGCTCAGTCGGTTAAGCGGCTGCCTTCGGCTCAGGTCATGATCCCTGGGTCCTGGGATCAAGCCCCGCATTGAGCTCCCTGCTCAGTAGGGAGTCTGCTTCTCCCTCTGACCCTCCCCCCTCTCATGTGCTCTCTCTCTCTCTCATTCTCGCTCTCTCAAATAAATAAATAAATCTTAAAAAAAAAAAAAAAGAATTGATCGTGCCTACGTGAGAAAGCCTCAAAAGAAATTCCAGTAGTATATGGTTCTGAGAGCTTCCAGGTCGGTGAACACATCCACGTACCAGGAGGGTGGCAGGTGCCACACACGGGACAGAGTCTCCTGCCTTCACAACCCTCCCAGATCTCGCCCTATGGATTTTTTTTTTTTAATCTGGCTGTTCATCCATATCCTTTATTATAGCCTTTAATAAACTGGTAAATATAAGTCAGTGTCCCTGAGTTCTGTGAGCTGTTCTAGCAAATACTCGAATCCAAGGGGGAGGAGGTCATGGGAACCTCTGGCTGTAGACAAGTCAGACAGAAGATGTGGGTAACCTGGGGACCTACTCCTTGCTATTGGCATCGAAGTGGGGCAAAGTCTTGAGGGACTGAGCCCTTACCCTGTGGGATCTGACACTAACACAAGGCAGGGAGGGTCAGAAGTGAGTTAAATTGCAGTACCCTCAGCTGGTATTGCAGAATTTCTTGGTGGGGGAAAACACCCACACCTCCGGTGTCAGAAATGTGGTGAGTGTGGTAGTCCTGTGGGAGTAAAGACTGGGATTTTTCTAATGCAACATACGATAGAGTAGTCACATGCACAGAGACAGAAAGCAGAATGACAGTAGCCAGGGCCGGGAGCAGGGGAAGTTGTTTAATGGGTAAAGAGTTGCAGTTTTGCAAGCTGGACGTGTTCTGGTGGTTGGTTGCATACATTGTGAATGTACTTAATACTACTGAACTGTACATATAAAAATGAGTAAGACGGTAGGTTTTTTTGATTATTTGTATTTTACCACAATTTTTTTAAATCATGGGGAAGATTTGGGACGAACGCCCTTGGATCAGGGGCTCATTCTTGAAACCATCAATTGTGGCCAATGGGCAGGGTCAGCTCAGAACATCTGAGCCTCCACTCCTACGAAGAAAGGAGCACTGAGTGTCTGCTGCTGCTGGCCTTCATATAATTTGAAACTAGTAAGACGCTGGGAAGCTCTAGAATCCTGTGGCTGAAAAATATCTGTGGCAAAGAAAATCATAAATGGAGCTGAAGAGTCATTGGAATTTTTGCAGAAGAAACAATCCTGTATTTTTTTTTTTTACAAGGAAAAGGAAGGGGTGAAGTATTTCTTCTGAGTTGTCCAAGCATAGAAGAATAAAATTAATAAATCTCAGAAGTTCAATCCGAGATGCCAGGACAAGAAGGGCAGGAGAGACAGAGTCCTTTTTTTTTTTTGCTGAATCCCTAGGATACAGTGTTCTTGCATGATCAGTATTTCCCAGTGATGTATGATCTTCAGAGTTCAGGCCCTTAAGGTCATGTATAATTTGCAGCAATAATGACTTAGTGATTTTAAAATAAAAACGTCTTCCTTTTGTAATGTCACCTAGCACTTTGGTTCAGGATAAAATGTTAATAATTGATTTTCTGTTGAAACTTGGTTTTCCACTGGGCCAGTACCTCATACTGAGTAGTCTTACCCGCATGGGTGATGAACTGGAATGTCTGAGAGACACTGTACATCAGCAAAACAGCTCAGAATTCTGATTATTGACAGAATTTGAGATGAGGTCATCAGGCCGAGCTGTGCAAAGGAGGGGAAGGAGAGGGGATAGATAATGTTTGCCTTCCCAGCCCTCTGCCTTTCCTCTGTGAAGACCATCCCACTGTGGGACTGAACTAATCACACCTCACTTCAGTACTGGGTGCTGTTAATCCTAGTGCTCTGCACCCCCGGGTGCAGAAGTAGGTGTGTGACCCAAAGGCCCCAGAGTCCTTTCAAGGTGATTTTCAAACTAGAAGCAAGGGAAGAGAGTCCCTTCTTCTCTCATGGCAAAGACAGGACAGTCCCTGGCCATGGTTTCAGGCCTGAGGAGAAAGCCAGTTTGAGAGAACGAAATGATGTGAAGAGAGAAGCAAAAATGGGGGACAGAGACATATGCAAATACACAGCTTACAGCACATGGGGGTTTTGTCCAGGTTGTCCCTGAAGCAAAGCCTCACCCTTGTCCACCGCCTTGAGGTTTGGCTCCAGGTTCCACAAATGGATTCATTTCCCCTCTGCCTAAGCTGGTCAGAGTTGAGTTTCTATCATTTTCAATGGAAAGAGTCCAGGGATACAGCCCAGAGCATCTGCACAGGCCACCCAGCACTCATAGGATGAGGAGGTGTCCCTTGAAGATAAACTAGTGCAGGATTAGGCTACTGCCTTCCCTTCCTGGGAAAACAAGTAGCAGCAGGAAGTAGGCTTGAACCCTGGACTCTGCCTTCTGCTCCCATCACTAACTGTGCCATCTTGGATGAGTTATCTTCTGGACCTCTGTAAAACGAGGGGGCTAGACAACGCACGCCATCCAAAGGGCATTCCAGCTTATATTATTTCAAATATTGAAATGTCAGTTTGATTTGTGCTACTGAGTCTTCTCTTGGTTTTGACCCCAAGTCTGCCTTTAGTTCTTTGCCTGAGTCTTGCTCACTTTAACAGGGTTTAAACGTTAGTCCTTCCTTTGTTGGCTAGAGGGAGTAAGACAGGGAAAAATAGCGCACCCTGTATCTCCCCAGTTGAGTTCTCAGATCTTTAATAAAGAGAGGATACCTGTTATTGGCAGCATAGGGCATAAAGAAGGCAGAAGAAAGAAGAATCACCAACTGTCCTTGGCATTTTCTGCTCCTGAGGCTGAATGCTGCCATGGGCTGATGTTTTGCTGCAGGACAGAAGTGGCTAAAAATGCAAGGGATATGCAGACAGAGTTGAGTTCTGCTGTTTGGGCAGTGGTTAGAGTTGCTACTTTGGAAGACTTGGAAAAACTCCTTGTGTAGGTATGAGTTCCCCCAACCTAATTATGTAAGAGCCTCTCAACAGCCTGGGATTATTGTTCTTAAACAAAATACACTGGGGTTTCTCTGTTCTTTTCAGGAAATATCTTGTCTGTGTTGTGAGGAAGGGGAATAGTGTGGTGTCTCTTGAATAGGGTAAGTCCCTCTGAAAAATATACTTGCTTCTTCCTTTGAAGTGTGTGTGTGTGTGTGCAAAAAGTTAAAGAAGATTATGATTGGTTGACACCATGAACTTTTAGTTTTTGTGTTGGGAGAAATTAAAAAATGGATTCCTTGGAATAATTCTGCCTTCAGAGAGTTGGCTGAACTTCACAGCAAAAAATCCTTGGTTGGCTGCCTGCTAAGGAGTGAACTTCACCAGTTCTGGACCCTGGGGCTATCTGGACTGCTGGGAAGTCTTACTCTCAGACAGATGGGGGAGTTTTGTATTTATATTGACACTGTATTTAACAGAGAATAAAAAAGACAAAGCCCATTCTCTAGTTTCTGTCTCTTGGTATGCTCTAATTTTTGTTTCCTGGTGATAAAAAGAATCAAAGGGTGGAATGGCTCCAAGAGGACAGACATCCCCAATTTTGGTTGTCCCTAAAGTAGCTGGATCTCACAGTATCTCTGAACAAGCAAGACAGGAACCTGAGCAGTTCTGGCTCCTCCATGGGCTCACCTACCCCCACCTTCTGCTACCAACCATCAAACAGAATCTTCTCAACAGATCTTATCCCTGGTTTATTTCTTCCTCAGGCCCATGGAGAGGAGTAGGTTGAACAATCATTGGCTCAATTAATTTATCTTGCTTAGTTATACAAAAGAAAAAGAAAGAAAGAAAGAACGAACGAAAGAAAGAAAGAAAGGAAAAGAAAGAAAGAAAGGAAGAAAGGGAGAACAAAAGAAAGGTCTGTGTGTGTGTGTGTGTGTGTGTGCTCGCCCAGGTATATGCACATGCACATATATGCATATGGCCTTTTATTTGTTTTTTTAACCTTCTGAATCAAAATTTGCTTAATATCTATTATGTAGAATAAAAAAGCAAGATGCAAAGCAGTGCTTATATTATGTTACCTTATGTGTAAAAGGGAGAGAGGGAATAATTACATATTTATATTTGCCTGTATTTGCTAAAGAAACTTGGGAAGATACGAAAGGAACTGACAAAAGTGTCTCCTAGTGGAGATGAGATGGAAGCTAGCTGGGTGGGAGGATATGGAAATTGTCACTGTACATCTTTTATATGTTTGATTTTTGAACCATGTGAATGTATTACCAATTCAAAAAATAGACTCAGTGCCTAAACTAAAATTGTCTCAAAGGTTGGACATTCTCTGTCTATGCTCTGGATATGTATAATGTTGGAACATTTTGTTTTCATTTTTTAAAATATTTTATTTATTTTTTTGAGAGAGAAAGCAAGAGCAGGAGGAGGGGCAGAGGAAGAAGCAGGCTTCCCGCTGAGCAAGGATTCCCCATGCAGGACTTGATAACAGGACCCTGGGATCATGACCTGAGCCATAGGCAGACACTTAAAGGACTGAGCCACCCAGGCGCCCATGTTTGAACATTTTAAAAGCAATCATGTGTTATATATGCCTCAGGAAAACTTCAAAAGGGAGAAGACTGTTATGTAACAACACATGCTGTTAACATTTTTCCTAGGTAAGGACATCTAGAAAAACAAAGGCGAAGTACCAGATACTTCTCTAGGGACCAAGACTGTAAATGCACCAAGTTCAAAAAGTAGGGAAGAAGAGGGACTCTCCCAGCCACGGGGTCTTCTAACCCAAACGTCTCTAAATTTAGATCACCAATCAGTCAGAAAGCTTCTCCTCTGAGTCACCCCCTGCCACCCTGCTCCTCTACCCACCCCTTCTTCCCGCACAAAATGCATCGCTTCCACCACCTGCAACTCACCGAGGGCTGCCGTGAACTCTGGTGGTTGCTCCAAGTCAGAGCAGCGCAGACGGATCCA